TATATATATATATATATATATATATATTATTCATACCTTCGGTGTATAGGACGCAAGCAGATTTTGACATCAAATTTTGGGGTAAAAAAGTGCATATTATACACCAAAAAATACGGTAGGTAAATTTGTTGTAGCTTTGGGTGGATTATTTTATTGTGGATGAGAAATGTTGTCCATTCTACTGTATCCTTGCAATCATACCTTTAGCCCTTCCTAATTGACTGATCACAGTTATAAATAAAAAGTCAAAATCTGCCAGGTTAGTCTTTAATTGATGAACTGTAATTTGCTTGGTTTATTACTGTGTTTATTTATGCATAATTTTGGCAATTAGTAGATAGATTTCCCTTCACATTTATTGCACTAATACATAACAGTGGACATTACTATATGTCTATTAAGTTTGCACAGGTGGCAGAGGAAGAAGAGTTCAATAAAACAAAGAAAAGGTGGAGACCAAAACAAAATATACCCTGGAACTTGAAGGATTGATCTGAGATTGCCTTTTATATTTGATAGTTACATTAAACCAAAATCAATATGCGAGTCTTCTGAGGCTGATTTACAGATAGTCAACTAACCACAAAATATCTTTAGAAGCCAGAGATATCCAAACACCTCAGAAATGCACAATCTCCTTAAAGTGCAATGATGGTCAATCAAATAAAAATATAAAAAAAACTTGGCAATTATATAACCTATTCTTTAATTATTAATGATGATCAATAAAGATCAGCACAGAGGTATGCTTAAATCGTTGGCCATCTGTCTTAATATTACATATTTGTTTTGAATTACATAGAATAGATGTTTTTCTTTCATTGGAGATTATTTTTGCATGTGAAGTCATTTAGATGAAGTCTAAATTGAACAGAGATGGATATGATTCAATGGAAGTTTACTGATCATCTTGGCAGAATATGATGTACTCCAGAATGGACTAGAAAGTACCAGATACCACGTAGGCCCCTCTGGATTCTGGGAGCCTAGATGGCCTCTGACCTTGAAGCACAGGAACCCTGGACCAGTCAAAACTTTCATTTGCTGTTCTCATCCCTGTAATCTAGATTGGTTATCTAACAACGTTAAACTCTTTGAAACCTTCAACTTGAGTCAGTTTATCTTTAATGCAAAAGTTAGAATACAAGGCTTGGTATTTAACCACATTGGGCAAGTACAAAAAATATAATTGCTACTCAGTGTTCTCATGTTTATAAAGTAAATCACATTACCCTCTATAAAGATGTTTTCTGTCTGTGGATATCATTGTAACTACACTATGAATTGTTAAAAAATAATAATAAAAAATGTCCAAAAAAAAGGAACTTACCCTGTTTCACACATGTATGTATTCTATGTAATATCTAAAGAAGAAAACATTTACACAGCATTCAGAAGAAAAACACCATGCACAAAACTTATTCTACCCCATTATGTCTGGTAGACTTAATAATGTCAATGATGCAATGTTCTTGTACACTCAAGAATTTGTACACTAGTGAATAGTGATGACAGTTGTAAAGAAATACATGTATTACATTTAGGGATACCCAAACATATATCCTGAGGCCAGCCAGTTGACAATTTGTTTATCACAACTGATCCACTGTCGAACCATGTGTGTACTTTTTTAATGTTTAACTAACGCTACTATAACACATACAGAGGGTTGATTACATTACATTGAAATTATTTTGGAGCCTCACCACATCACCATGTCTGGTCATGGTCTCTCTGACAACCATGCATCTTGACAGTAGTCCTGCAACATAGTTCTATTGTAAAGGGCTCTATCACATGGCTGTCAAGTCTAAAGTACACCATTATTTCCAAAAGCTATCCATAATTCATCTATTGTATGAAGATGCTTGGTTCCCAGTGCCCACTTCAATCGCACAAAAATGTATAGGCACTACAACCAGGAACTTGTTCAGTATGACTTCACATAAGTACCCATTTCATTCTCTAACTGCTTGAGGTATGACTGGAAGATGACTTATCTTGATAAACCCATATCCTGTTGGCCTCATTTCAAGGCCAATAATCATCCTTAATTATGTTGTGTACTGTTACTTGGGGTGAGTGGACAGCTTATGCTACTGACCTTTTCATTCGTGGATTGTCACCTATGGAAAGACTGGGGGTACAACTTGTTGCAAGTCTCCTTCTGGATAGTCCTGGTTCCCCAAATTTACCCTCACTCCTTTTTTCCAGTGATATTAAATATGAAATACCATCTTGGAAATCCCCAATCTGAATAAATATTTGATTCGAGTGTATGAATATTTTGTATCTTTCCAAAAGTAATAAATTTTCAAAGCCAAGCTACAACTGTTACTTTATATTTAGAACTCACTAAATTTCCTAAACCGGTCAAACTTCGCAAGATATTGTTACGACAGCGGAAGTCACGCGATTCTGGGAGCATACGCGCTGGAGTTTCTGGAAGGATCATGAATTTTCCTGGCAACTGTAGTTTGTTCTAAACGCCCTCTTTTTTTAGTATATAAGCCTGACAAAGAAAGTCAGCGAGATAGACAGATAGAGATAATTGAGTCAAGGAAACAGTAGGCACCGTAAGTAAAGTGTGTGAATCGCTGTGATTTATAGTGTGTGTTATAAAGGTTGTTAAGTTTAAAGTGACTATGGAAATTTTGTGTATTACAAAGTGGTATCGAGAAATAATAAACTAGTTTTAATTAAGAAAGGACTTGTATAGCTGAAGTTCCTCGGAAAGAATTTATACCGGAAATTAACAAACAAGCAGATACGTAACAAATCTGTGTCAGAGAGTGGGACGGAAAAAAAAGATGGAAACTAGAAGTGGCAAATCAAACTACAGCTTAGCAGATTTGATGGCAGCAATACAAGAACAGCAAAAGAAACAAGAAGAGAGACTACAGCAGTTGTTGGAGGAAAAAGAAAAGAAACAAGAAGAGAAACAACAGCAGTGGCAAGAAAACCTGCAACAATGGCAGCTGGAACAGCAAAATAAACAAGAGTGACTACAGCAGTGGTTGGAGGAGAAAGAAAATGAACAAGAAGAGTGACTACAGCAGTTGAGAGAAAGCCAGGATACACAAATGGAAAATATTAGTAAATTTCAAAGTGAATTAAATACATTAAAGGATGATT